TGGATCACACTTTTAAATATGTCCTTTTACACTGAAAACAACAAAACTAGAAACGATATTATTTAACAGAACTGAGAGGGAGGTTTTTCCTCATGGGAGATTATATAACAGGGGATTTTTTCCATGGGGATTTTTTCTGTTGGGGATTTCTTTCCTCTGGTGACTTTTTCCTAGAATTAGAGCACACACATTAAATAGAAGCTAATATTCCCAAATAACCCCCATGAGCACCTTGGGGATATGGGATCACCGAAAGCCCTTCACCTCCTTTGCCTCACTGTTTGAATCACCCACAGGGTAAATATGCAGAAATCTTCCGTCTGTGTGGCCCTACAGCCATAATTGTTTTAACCCACCGCTCCACATCATACAAAATTCCCCACATCAACCCGTATCAGTTTACAGAACTGAGCAGGTGCTGGAAATCTCTTTGGCCGGCGTCACCTTTTCACACTCCTTTTCCATTTATCCCTATACCTTGCACTCTCCCTTCCCTGCTCCAATGACGTATCTCCTGCACTCAGTGTCCTTTTCACCCCAGCCATCAGTCAGATTCTGCGTCTGCCTTTCGACCTTTGTCCATTAACTTCTGTATTATACACTCTCTTCGCTAGTCGTTTTTAATTCATTCTTTCATTAATTAAAACAAAAAAGATCTTACCATTCTTTGGTCTAACTTATTTGAAAAATTTCTTCCAACATCAGTACTTTGCCTCATCTTCTCCTTTTTCATTCTATCAATTCTTGACACATCTATCACACTTTTTACACACCTCACCTCCACTCCATTCAGTTTTGCTTCTCATCCTCTATTGTATTCCAAGTCCTTGCCTCCATACATTGCCGTAAATAAATTACTCTTTCATATAAACTGCTCTATGCATTCACTTCTAAATACCTTTCTCATTGCCCATTTCATCTCACACAGACATTTATTTGTTAACTTCAATTTGCAGCTCACCTCCATATCCACTAGTCCAGTATTATCATTATTATTATTATTATTATTATTATTATTATTATTATTATTATTATTATTATTATTATTGCTATTATTATTATTATTATTATTATTATTATTATTATTATTAATTATTATTATTATTATTATTATTATTATTATTATTATTATTATTATTATTCGTCGTCGTCGTTGTCGTCATCGTCGTCGTCGTCGTCGTAGTAGTAGTAGTAGTAGTAGTAGTATTAGTAGTAGTAGCATGGCATTGGGTTGGCTCCAATCCTAATGAGGAGTCTCTGTCTCCCAGAGTTACTTCTCTCTTTCTCTACATTTTTACTTACCTTCTTGGAAGTGTTTGGGTTTACTCCTAGTTAGGATGTGAATAGCCTCTGCCTCCCATTGTTCATGTTCTCTCTCTCTCTCTCTCTCTCTCTCTCTCTCTCTCTCTCTCTCTCTCTCTCTCTCTCTCTCTCTCTCTCTCTCTCTCTCTCTCTCTCTCTCTCTCTCTCTCTCTCTCTCTCTCTCTCTCCAATTTTTTCATTCCCTTTTGGAACTGGGAGGGTTCAAGCTAAGTCAAGAGGTGAACTGCCTCACTCTACAAATTTTTCCTCCTTCCTTGGAATTGCGTGGCTTCATTCCAAGTGAGGAGCAAACAGGCCTCTGCCTCCCATAGCTTGTTCTCTCCTTTTCTCTTAATTGGTATAGTCGTTTTTCTTTCCTTTCGGTTTCGGACAAGAATACCACCTGCTTGTTCCCCTGCGCATTGTACTATGCAAATAAATGTGACGGAGCGAAGAAGCCAGGTAAGCCTACTCTGTACTTTCCTCCCGCTATGAGCCAAAGTTGTGCTCTGATTTGGCCACCTCCTTATAAAAGCGATTATGACCTTTGTATATGCATAGCTAGATGATTTTTATTCAAAAATGTCCAACGTATTAGTAATATTGTGCTAATGATATGCATACATTAATTGCATACTTTACACATTATTTTCATAATATAGGGTACTTAATGGAAAAATTATAAGTAAATTTAATCCACATAAACAAATACATTTAGATAAAGAAGCCACCTTCCACTCACCCACACAAGTCTGCGAACCACCACTTCACACATACAAACATATAAATCCTTTTATCAACCCATAATTCTTGCCGAATTACAACCGAGTGAATAGATCAAAGGGCTCATAAAATGGCGCTCTAGAAATCTAGGAGGATTTTAAAACCAGTTATGAGATTTTCAGTATAGAAGGGAGAACGCATTTATACCGAGTCCCCTCTCTGTTTGCCACTAGGGATGGGAGTAGTTGCATATATCTTGTATAAGAGTATTATAAGACAATCTAAAAGGAAGGGAAGGGTTTACTGTCTCTCTAGATACAGCCTTCTATCCATCAGTCCATCTATTCGCCAAATTATGGCATGATATAAAAGATGGTCGAGAATTAAGAAATCATTTTCTCCCAGCTTTTCATTTCACTCTGAAAAGAATTTATTCTTAATCTACTCGCATGGGTACTACTACTACTACTACTACTACTACTACTACTACTACTACTACTACTACTACTACTACTACTACTACTACTACTACTACTACTACTACTACT